TGTTCTATTTTTTAATGAAGAAAAAGAGCACTGACATAAAAAATGTGAAGAGAGGCAGACTCTCAAACATTACGTACAGCTTTTAGTTGCTCCATCCAACTCTCACCAATGTGTTATCCTATTTTATATTTTCAATATGCTCCCCGATGGCTCCTGTTCCATAATGGCCCCAACCACTTCTATATCAGGTGTCCCAGTCTGTGTAAGTGTTGATGTCTGTTTTTAATATTTCTGTAGATCTCACCGCAAAGACCTTCCACAAAATTCCATAACATTGAGCATACTTGCTTTGGCTTAATTGGAGCATCGTGGAAAATAATCCTTCGACAGTCTAGAAATTAGATTTTACTTAGATTAATATGTTCCACAGAAGACTGAGCCTATATGTGTCTATAGATAGATGTAAAATATATCTTAATGAATATCACCCTAGAAAATCCTGCTGTCAGTTTTTTTTCCAAGTAAAATATGATATTTCTGTAGAGCCAGTGTCTATCTTTGTGGGGTTGGGGAAGAGCTAGCAATTCATCACAAGGAACCACAGAACAATCATGCAAGCACTCACTAAAACTAATGCCAATTCAGAGAGACTAACTTTCCTAACAATCATGTTTTTGGACAATGGGAGAAAACCTGAGCAACAGAGAATTGAAGCCTGCAGTGGGAAAACATGTAAAATCCATGCACAAAATCCAGCATTAAATTAAATTTAAAGTAATCATGTCACAACCTCAAGGTGTTTGAGTTTCCATTTGTCTCAAATCCTCCAACTTAATTTAGATTCAGTCTTTTCAGGACATTTATGAATGAATTTAAAGATGTCATTGGATGTCATAAGTAGACTTAATACAATTTTTGTGACATTACACAACAAATATTGTCATTCTGTACTTTTGGCAAAAAGTCTCACTGGTAGAAGAGACTATTTTGCATGGCAATAGGTAAAAAATGACTTAGATTGTACTTTTCAGTAAAACCACAGCTATAAAGGAACTTGAAATAAATCATTTCAAGACAGACTGAGTAGGGGTTTTAAATTGTTTCCATGGTCCTATTTTGATTTTGGTTGCAGAGAGTCCCGTCAAAAGTCCCACAAAGCATATCCTGGCATATTAGCCTATCTTACACTTCTGTTTTTGTTTATTAATATTTTTTTTGGTGTCATTTGTCACACAATGACATGCTTGATTCAAAAGAATTCTATTTTTGAGTTTTCTGAAGTTAAAATTTTCACAGATCTCAAGCCTCTGAGCCAACATAAGTTTTTAATAACAGCACTGTTCTTCTCCGAAGCCATAGTTTAGCTATTTCCATGTGGAACAAGCTAAAGTTTGAATATATCATGAATCATAAATGAAATAAGCACAAACAAAATGTGCCTGAATGAAAACGATCGAGCCATATGTGCAAGCTCTGCAACACCATGGTGCTGTCCGAAAGTTATTATTTAAAGTCTTTTCTTTTCTTAGTTTTTCTGTAGCCACATGTCATATTCCTTAAAGACTCAAAGCAACAGTCTGAGATGCCTGCAAAACTCCAGCCGCTCAGTATGAATCTCACAGGCCTTAGTCTGACAGCAGTGACAGTGTTTACATAGAGGCTCCTCAGCCAAGGCTGTAAAACTCATCTGTGGTTATTACCCCCAGGTTTCCCTCATTCACAATGTGCAAGACTTCATCATGTTTTCAACAAAGCAGACAGTCTTAGATAGCTTATTAAAAGGTTAATTTCCTGTTTTATCCTTTTCTTTCACTGGACTTAAAGTAGGGAATCACTGGCAGTCACTTTGAGTTTCCTAAAAATTTTATTTTGCCATATTACAATAGCAAAGACTATGACCTGGATGACTGAGAACCTTCATCAGCATTACAATAGCAAACTTCAAGTTATTTAATAGAAATACATCTGCAGTCACAAGATCTTGCCGTCTATCCAATCCATACCAGAAGTGTTGTTTTCCTAATATGCTGATTATTCTTAGCCAATTTAAACAATTCAATTCAATTTCAATTCAGTTTATTTATATAGCGCCAATTCACAACACGTGTCATCTTAAGGCACTTTACAGTTCACAAGATCATACCATCAATTGATTCAAAGTTTTCTATCTAAGGAAAACCAGTTGATTGCACCAACTTATTGATTTTAATGCAATCCCTCACACTAAGCAGTAGTACAGTACATAAGCACAGAAATAAATTTAAGGAATTGCATTGTATCATCATCAAATAAGTGTAGCACAGTCTCTGAGATGCTAGCTGTTATCTTCAGTTCAATTTAGTCTATTTAAATTGCACTAATTCACAACACAAATTCTCAAGGTACTCGAGATACAGAGACAAGTCGATCAGATCATCAGACATCATACGCCCTGTATAATTCCACATCCTCCACTCCTGTTCATGTCAGGTAAATTGCAGAACTCCTCCATGTGTCATGGAAAAAGGTAGCAGCGTCGGACTCCAGTACAAGTTCTTTGATTCCCAAAGAGGTCTTGGCGGAGCCAAGAGGACAGGGGCAGACAGAAATTGGAGTTGCTTCATATTTTGACAGTGAAGGACAGAGAGTGTGTCCATGAATGGGGGTGTTTGGATCACTCACAGAGATTGTAGAATGTTCTTATTGATTAAAATAACTACGAAGTTATGTTATGTTAACTCCGTCTTTCATTCGGGAGTGTACGTAAGCAGAGTGGAGGAAAACTAAAGAATGTGGAATTTCGGAGTGTAACAGAGAACACCAAGTGATTGCAATGAGTAATTGACTTGCAGGAGATGTTCCTCCTGGATGAGTATATGGCAACAGGGGATATTTGCTTGAATCTTGTCATTAACTACAACATTTCCATCAAACTGAGCATGTGCGGGACAATGTACATGGTGTTGGACTCTGCACTCCAAAATTGGGCTGTAAGACCCCTCAATGCTCCTTGACACCATCCCACATAGACTATGGCCCGAGTCATATACCTCAAATTATATTTCCTACCTCCTGTTCCTGGCTACTATCCCTTCACCTTTCGCATAGCCAACAGTAAGAAAACTATCCAGGGTAGTGTAAGAGTCATGATTGTGTAGTGTCTCATTAAGGTACTCTAGTATTGCAATGCGCTACTGCTTCTCTGTAGAGAGCCTGGGAGACATGTGATGCAGATCGATACAGGGATGGAGGCGACCATGTGAGTTCCTTACTTTTTAGTGACATTATGGGTTGTTTAGACTTTGTTCATTTTTCAGAATATAGCAGCCGTTCAACCGGGCTTTGTAAGGTTGGTTAAGAGTGTGTTTATAAAAGGACTCTTTCAGGTTTCTAGACCTCACTGAGGGACGGGGGGGACTCCATTTGTAAGGGTTATGCAAGTGATCAAAATGCTAACTTACCCTATAAAGGGTTAAGGACCGTCCCAAACCACATAGTGGGTAGGGCAAGTGGACCAGTCAGCACTTAAATAGCGAGTCTGCATCTGTGCCTTAGAGTGACACCACCTATCGACTACCACTTGTAAGGTTGGGCAAGGTTATGTTAGTTTAGATTAGTTTAGGTAGGGTTAAGTTAGGTTAGGTTAGAAAACTAGAAATATTTGTTCTGTCATTCTTCTTAAAAAGGCACAACTAAAACATTACCTAGTGATGGCTGTTTGCTAACTGAAAGTACTAGTAAGGCAAGCATTAATTAGGAGCAGCTAAGAGACCCTTTGTATCTCTCAAGTAGATGTAGATGAAGATATCAACGGTACAAATGGCTATAATAAGTCTAGACTAAAGTTTGCAACAATCAATTTAAGGGGCACTACAACAAGACTCTTTGTGATGAGTGAGAAACACTCTTAATGTAAAGCTGCCAGTAGGGGACATGGTAGCTCAGAGTTAATTGGACAAAGCATACTTTACATAAGGCTGGGGCAGAGTTTCACCATACCAAAAATGAATTTGTGACAGATGTGGAAATTTTTCAGAGAGATAACCACAAAATCCTTAAGCTAATTGCTAAAGGCTCGACTCAAGGCAGCTGTATACAAATTCACCGCACTTTTCAGATTTTAATTAGTAAAAGTATTATAAACACTCACCATTTCTTTATGATTCTGTGCTACATTGTGTTTATTTATCACATCAAATTCCGCAAAACTGCATTGAAATTCGTGGCTGTGATTTGACAAAATCACAACCACAAGGTCCAAGGGGTGGGAATACATTTGCAAGGTACTTAATTCAGAGCAATCTTGCTTTTTTGTGACCTTTCCGAGTCAATCAAGACCCTAGATGGTACCACCTTCTGTTGGAAACCACACATAACACAAACATATTGTTAATTAAAAATCAGCTTTTTTCCAGACTAGCTTTGCCTGTGGCCTGTGGATTTCATAGCACCGTGCCAAACAGCCCGCAAGCAATGGTGCCACTGATTAGACCCGTCTGCTAAGAAGGCAACATGATACAGAAGCTTTCTACGAGGTCAATGTGATTACAAGCTTCATATAAGATCAACATTAGTAAAAACCTGAACCCAAACTCTAGAGGAAGATTCCAAAATATCCACAGTCTTGGATTTGGGCAATTTCTGAATAATTTACCAGAAAGTGAATAAAAACTGATAAAATCAAGAATGTAACATTATCATTTACCTTTATTAATAAAGTGTTATAAAACTATAAAAGTATGAATAATAACCTGTGGGTTTTAAATGAGTAAGAGAAGTAAAATAGTGATAAATAGGAGCTTGCTTAACCTCAGTATGAACGGTTTTTAACCAGAACTTAAATTTCCAAATAGCTTCAAGCTGAATAAACACTCTGCTAATTTTAGCTGTGCTGATATAAACTGGAGCTAGATGAGGTATCAGATTGAAAATGTTCCTTATTAAAGTTGATTCTCTGCCACTCAGAGTACTGTAGTGATTTAAAGCACAAGTAAAACACACCTGAGCTGCAAAGAACAGGAAGAAAGTGGCAAAAAAGGCATTTTATGAAAAAAATATGAAAAAACAAAGCAAAATCCCACCTGTGTCAATGAGTTCAGTCAATGCTGTCTTAGTTGTGCACCTCCCTCAGATTCATTCTGTGTCTCCTCGCCCTCAGTGCTCCGTTTCCCTTCTTCTCCCACTGAGACTGAGGGCCTGTGCTGACTTACGACACCAGCAGCACCAGCACTGGAGCGGAGAGGTGGAGGGTGGTCCATGTACAGAAGGAGGATGATGGAGTGATTTTCCTTGTTGCTTGAACTGAACCAGTAGTCTTGGCCCTCCCCTTCTCCAATGATGTCATGTAAAGTTTAGGAGGGGATGATGGGATGGATGTTTTCACAGCAAATGAAAGTGGAATGAGTCCAAGTTAGTGCCTGATTCCTTGTTTGTACTCAGACCCCTTTTCTCTGAAACCACTACATAAATTCCACTTCAACTAAACAGTGATTTTAGAAGATATTACTGTTCTTAACTAACTTAAAAGAGTCAACCTGTGTATTAAACCACATTAAATTCAACTGTTTTGTGAGAGCCTGTTAGAGAGCATTAAGGAGCATTAATTATATATTGAAAAACAAAAAGGAAGAAATCCTTTTTTGAAAGAAAAACCCACTTGTTAAGTAGTGTGACTCTAATCAGATCAAATCGAAACATTTTGGTCTGTAAGCATAGTGCTGAATATCCCCCATGAACAAAGCCTCTTTTCCCTTGAGCATGTTGTTGGCTGCATCATGCTGTGGGGCTACTTCCATTCAACAGGGGCAGAGAATGTGATCAGAAATGACACAGAAATCAATGACACAAAAAAATGGAAATCCTGGAGAAAAATCTTCTGGGGGGCTTTAAAATATGGTGGCCAACAGGTGCAAACCTGCAGTAAACGATAAAATGAGCAACATAAACATGAGTGATGCAAACTCCAAAACAAGCAAGCACAAAAAACAAATGCAACTCAAGAAAATGCTGCTAACGTAAAAACAAAATGAACTGCAAACAGGTGCAAATGCGCAGCGAACTGAGAAACGAACGAGCTGCAAACACAAGTATTCTGCAAAGTACAAAATACATTTAGGTTGTTGCTTCTTTTTTAAGCAACTGTTTTTCTTATGCATTTGTTCATGCATTAGAAAAACGCCTGCAAACAAAAAATGTTTTAAGCAGTTGCTTAAAAAGGAACCTTAACAAATGCAAACACAAAATGCTGGAATCTCAGAAAACAAATAATGCAAAACAGCAGTAAAATCACATTCGCAGTTGACCACTAGAGGGGGTTAAACAAAAAAACAAACCAAATCATGCTGTTAATCTTTAATGCAGTCAGACTTTGTATTTGAAATGCAATGAGAGAAAATGAACCCTCCTTTGTTTCTTCAACTTTCTTCTTTTTTAACTGACTTTTTGTTTGTACAGCGCGACTGGTTCAATACAGTTTGTTTTTGTTCGACTCCATCTAGTGGTTTGGAGTACTTTCTTTTTGTGGAGCGAGTTTTCTGCTGTTTTTGCATCACTTTTTTTATGTGCTTTCAGCATTTTATTTTTGCTTGTAGCTTTATTTTTGTGGTTTTAGCATTTTTGTTTGCACTTGTTTTGTTTATTGTAGGTGTTTGTTTCTATTTTTGTTGGTGGCATTATTCTTTGGCATTTGTTTTCCGGGCTTGTGGGATTTTGAGTTTGCATCACACAGAGATTTGCAGCCTGTTTCATCATTTATTGCACATTTACACCTGCCAGCCATTGTAGTAAAAGACCTCAGACTGTGGCGAAGCTCTTCGAATACAGACCGAAATCCTTTTGGGTTTCTAAGGTGTCACTTAAAATCAAATTTAATATTAAAGATTATGTAGAAAAGACAGGACAATAACGTCAGTCTTAGGATAAGTGGAGAAAGAAAAAGGATAAGTAGCAGTTCCTGACAGTTTTCATATTTTTATTTATGAGAAAATCAATAACACTTTAAAAACATGTTGAATTTTCCTTTACAACCACCCAAACTATCCCATTGAAATTTATGTTGCTATGTAATAAAACATTAAACATTTCAAGATAAAAGTTTTTGCAAGACACTCTGACATCTATGGAGATAAATTCTTTTTTTTCTCCTGTCTTTTATAAACAAACTGATCTGTCAGCTTCACTCATCTGACTCTTTCACACAGTCGTCTCCCTCCTCTCCACAAATCTGCTTCCTATCAGCTCTAATCTAATTCCAGCTTTATTCCTGTGATCCAGTAGCTTCGATGTGCTTTTGGAAGGGGGGGGTGTATTTAGAATGGGAACTTTTCTCTTGCGTTGACTGATTATGAGGGATGTCAGTTTCTCACAGCAGTCCAAGAGCTGTTGGCTGCTGTGTTTGTTTGGTTATGGAGACAATGTGCACAGTGCTTATCGGAACAAAAAGATCAGCCCTCAGCTAAATGTTGCAGATGGAGGAGGGAGGCACAGGCTTTGAATTTGCTGGGGGATTTCTCTGCGTGGGGGGGACGTTATTCAGCATGTAGGACGATGGTGGTTCTGATCAGCATTGTGACAGCACATTCATAATGCAGAAAGGACTGCACTCGTTTCTTATCCTTCCTAAGTAGTGGATTGTAAATCAAATCCTCCTAGTTTTGTGTTACAGTGAATGGACTAGTCCACTAACACCAGATCAGTGTATGCTACTAATAGTAACATCGGATGTTATTTCTACAAGAATGGCGTTGGAAATTAAGGTTTATTGGTGAAATAGATTTTCACAATAAGAACAATTTAACTGTTAAGCTGATAAAGATTGTGTTTTCTCTCCATGGGCTCCTCCTTGTGGTTCAAACACATCACTACCTAAAATCAGATGATAGCTTTTAGACAAAATAAACACTGAAATCTAAAACCTTCATAATAGAGTAAACATTTTCAGAAAACTGTAGTTCCTGCTGACTAGTAAATGCTAAACTAGTAAATTTTATATCACTTTTTTATACTTCTTTTTTTTTTTTTTACTTTTTGGGCTGCCTACGTAAATAAAAATAAATATGATGATAAAAACAATGATTTCTAAAGGGTTTGACAAAAGGAACTGGAACATAGATCCATGCATATGCATTCAGAAAAGTGGACCACATTAGTCCAGTTCTCAGGTCTTTACACTGGCTGCCGGTCCATCAGAGAATAGACTTTAAAGTTCTGTTGCTGGTCTATAAAGCTCTGCATGGTTTAGGCCCAAAATACATCAGTGACCTCCTGACCCAGTATGAACCTACTAGACCCCTCAGGTCATCCGGATCCGGCCTTTTATCAGTTCACAGAGTCAGAACCAGACATGGAGAGGCTGCATTTAGCTTCTATGCTCCACATGTCTGGAACAAACTCCCAGAAAGTCTCAGATCAGCTGAAACACTTAGTTTATTTAAATCCAGGCTGAAGACTCACCTGTTCTCAGCTGCATTTACGTAGATTTTATTCAAAAGTTAAAATTCGCCCGTCTCTGTATTCTCTATTTTTAATTTTAAATGTTTTTAATTTTGAATCACGCTTTTAATTGTTTTTAATTGTTTTCTTTCCCTTTTGCTTATAATGTTTTATGTAAAGCACTTTGAATTGTTCTGTACATGAAATGTGCTATACAAATAAACTTGCCTTGCCTTGCCTTGCCTTGCCTTGCCTTGCCTTCAGCCATTTAGTATTACAAATCCCATGGCCCGTTAGAGGAAGATGTGTCTTTAGAAATGAGTGACATGGCTCTCGGACCAGGGTGGCATGCATGGGGTGTCTTCAAACACATGGAAAAAAAAGAAAACTAAATAAAATCATCTGTCGGTTGTTATCTTATGCCCAACAATATTTTTTGTACATAAATCCAGACCGGGTCTGAATCAATAAGAACTGTCAGAGTTGTTTTTTCACTGTCTAGATGAATTAGGCGTGTGGATCGTCTCTCATTTAAGAACTAAAATACATAAACTAAAAAAAAAAGATTATTCACAGCTCCAATCTTCTTTTAAATGTAGTATTTTTTTCAAGCCTTTCTTCAACTTATAAACATACACACCCATAAGCACCAGAGGAGACTGTAATGTTGAGCAGATTAGGACCATATTTGGCAAATGGTTGCGTCCATCAGAGGAACAGAGTTATGGAATAAATTCCAGCTGATGTTCGGAGCTGTGAAGCCTATGTTTTAAAACCTCCTTGAAACAACGGTTGAAATATAACCACACATGTTCACAAGTAAATGTATCCATTTTCATGGGTCTGTTCACCTAATCTTATTGTGATTTTATGTTTTTGGTGTTTTACGTGTTTGTGTCTACCCTGTTTTTTCCTGTAGCGTCCTATTTTAATATTCACTGTTCTTACCGGCCTTAGAACAGTGGGAGCAAATTAGCTGTTGTGCTAATTCCGGCATATTTACATTGAGGCTTTAAGCTGACATGTTAATAAATGTGCATTGTCCTAATTTCTATCCATCCATTCCTTTTCCATCATGCTTATCCCTTCTGGGGTTGCAAGTGAGGCTGGTGCCTATCTCCAGCTGTCAATTGGTCAGGGGCAGGCCACAGCCTAGACAGGTTGCCAGTTTATCGCAGGGCAACACAGGGACTAACAGGAAAAACAACCATTCACGCACGCACTCACACCTAAGGAGAATTTAGTGTGGACAAATAACCTATTAGGCATGTTTTTCAACTGTGGGAGGAAGAAGGAGTACCCGGAGAAAACCCACACATGCACACAGAGAACAAGCTAACTCCTGCAGAAAGACCCCGGGCTGGAAATCGAACTTTCTTGCTGCAAGACAGCAGTGCTATCCACTGGGCAGCCCTGTTCTAATTCAAATAAATATAATAAATACATAAATTAGTTTCACAACGTCTTGGAATTAGGGCCATTTTACTGAGATGTGTTTAGAGCACAATGTATGGATAATTAGAAGGCTTTTGTTGAGTTTCTTCAGCTTTTAACGATGTAATAATGCCCCTCCGTCAAAATCATGGCCCATTTTGCTTGATTTGTGAATGTTTGAGTAATCTTTGTGAATTATGTTGTCTGATACTGCCTTCCTTCTAGGTGGGGATTGAATAACACCAGAAGACAGCTGACAAATGAATACTCTGTAGGTCAAATATTTAATCATATACATTCATATAGTTACATTTTAAGATAATGAACATTTGAAAACATTTATTTAGAAAAAAAAGTCTGTCTGTCTGGCTATCCATCTATCTGTGCCTTTAAAAGGGGTCAGGCTACTATGGCTTGTGGTAAGGCTTCGTCATAAAGCGGTGTCTTCAAACATGCAGCTGGTGACGTTTATCAGGTTGACCAATGGGATGCATTAAGTGAAAGCAGACACTCTGTAAACAGCAGCGGCGACTCGAAACAAAACAGAGGGAGGATTTAACTTTTATTTATATATAGACTTCAGACTTAGATCCAACAAGTTAGTGAATCAATAATGTGTTTTTCTCAAAAGGGTTAGTTGTTTGTATGTAAATGTTGTCCAGTCAACTTTATTTGTCCACTTTTCAAGAATGGTGAGTTTGCTGACTTAGTTTGTTAGAAGATGTTGCTGATGGTTTTTGTGTGTTCTTTGGGAAGCAAGCATTCCTGATATGTATTGTGAAGCAGAACCATTTGCTTTGGTCCACTTTGCCCCACAGAGATTAGTTGGTTCAGACAGGCTTTGCCTCATCTGCTGTGGATATAATTAGCCTCCTGCAGCGTTAGAGATCCTCTGTCACTGAGCCCTAAGCAGGACACCGATAGGGACACTGTCATGGTTGGTTAGTAGGCTGTTTTATACTTGTTTTGGATTACAGATATGAACCCCTGCCCAACTCTAGATAATGATGAAGTCAGTTCAATTAACCCTGTAAAGCCTAAACCATGTCATTGTTTTGAGTTTTTTTTAAAACAGGAGTCTCCATTAAGGTGAATAATTAAAACAAATATACATTTGCACTTATCGGTTTTAACAGGGGTGGATTTAGGAAATTTGGGGCCCTAGGCAAAGAATGGCAGGGGGCCCTCTGAACTGGGAAGACAACACATAAAAGAAACCATTATACAGATATAAGAATTTTAATAGACATACATTATTTTTTCTACGTTTTGTCCCTCTCTTCTTGTTGTTTTCCTCTTTATGTTTTGTACTTCGCTGACTTTTCATGCTGTCTCAAGCACTAAGCACACTTAGCTGGTTGCTCCTTCCTGTTTCCAAAAAGGAAATGGCAATATGAGTCCTTATCACTGTAGACAAGCCATGATCTGCTTCTCTGTTCTCCATTTTTCATTTGGATGAAATAATAGCTGCATGAATCATGACAGCAGACAAGATAGAGGAGAGCAGGAGGCGGGGTTACCAATCTACTGGCTCTGGAGAGCAGAGTTTGCTGCTTGTCGCCAAAGTCTCCAGTAGCAGGAAAAAGTTGCTAGATTTGGCGCTAGCAATGTTTTAATTGGACTGAATAAAAATAAAGACTCTAGAGGGGTCTGAAAAGTCACTGAATATAGCAAGAAAAGCACTAAGTTTCTCAACACTGCTCTTCACATCGTTTGTTTTCAAATGGTTTGCTGCTGTCTGTTTGGAACTTTCTGAACATGTGCGGCAAATGGACTGATCCAATATGGTGGACACTGAAAGGGGGGAGCTGAGACACAATATTATAACTTTCTGATGGCATTTTAGCAGAAGGATGTTTATCAAAAACATAATTAATGTGCACAAATAAGAAATTGTTGTATTCATCATACACGTAAACAGAGTTTTATGGGGCCCCCAGGAACTTGGGGCCCTAGTCAACTGCCTAGTATTGCCTCATGGTAAATCCTCCCCTGGGTTTTAATTAGATTTATTCATTTCATTTGTATCAGTTATAGAACATCTAGTTCATTTATTATATGTGTCTGATTGCATGTATCAGGTTTTTCAAGAAAATAAATCACACTAAGAATATATGGGGGTCTCAAAAAAAGAAATGTTAATTTAGTGTAAATTTGATTTCACTTGCCAAACTTTACCAGCAAGCATTTGGAATCAAGAAATCCCTCAACCTCCCTGAAGTCACTTAGATCTACTATTCTGTCAAGTAATGTCTGAAGCTTTGGGAATCCAGTGAACAGTTGTGATGGGAATTATATGCAAATGTAGAAAAGGTGGGACAGTGATGAACATTCCTGACCTACCATATTTCCTCCAAGGAGGTATCTGTGATTCATCTAGGAGGTAAAAAAAAGAAGAAAAAACACATCTAAAGCACTACTTTTTTCTTTTTTGTTTATTTTCCCTATTTTTAAGTAGGTAAATAAGACAAATTACCAAAGGAGTAAAATCATTTACATTTATAATGTGAAATTATTTTTTAGACCAGCTTTGCAGTGTACAGGACTCCCTTGCCCTAATTATGTCCAGTGTGCATGAATCAACAATAAGAGAAAGAAGGTGGGACATAATTATATAAGAGCATAATACAAGATAGTTGTTATGTAATGATCATGAGTGCTTCATTCTATTTCTATTCTTAACACTGCAAAAACTGAACTAAAAGTATGTCTTTTCTGTTTTTATAAGTGTTTTTTGCACTTTTTGCACAGCCAGTGGAATATTTTTATTCACTTAGAATAAAAATAACATCTCTAATGTCTTGTTTCAAATGGACTATATCTAATTATCCTATTTTAGGAGCCAAAATACTCATTCCAGAACATTTTACTAACACCCTTAAATGGGCAAATAGACATATTTCAAGAAATATTTTGGGAGAATGGCAAATACTTAAAATTTCTTTCACACAACAGCAACATTTATAGAAAGATATACTGTAATGACAGAAGCACCTATTTAGCTTATTTTACCTTTTGGAAATCTATAACATAGGACTAGCTTATCTGATTAGTCTGTGATGTGTGCTGCAGGATGCCGAGGGCCCCCAGACGCTGTGTGACCTCTGCTTGGCTCAGGTGTGCTATAGATTAGATGCTTTGTGCAGGAAGCGAGCAGACGGTTCAATGAGCCTCATCTGGGCCCCAGTGTTCCCACAGGAACTGGCTGACCAACTGCTGCAAAAGATGGCAGCTAAAGGTATGAAGGGCTTTAAACCTCCCTCCCCCAATCTAACCCCTTCAGTTCAGGAAATGGGAAAAACAGCTGCCAGGAGAGGGAAGTTTTTTTTTTTTTTAAGATATTAAAGAAAAAACGCTTTCAGGAATTTAATAGAGGTTAATTGTGCTTTTGTACTGCAAAGAAAAGCCATATAATTTATGTAACAGGATTACTCATTTGTTGAAGTCATAATCAGAAGATTGTGGCGTTTTTCCGCACACTGGGAGGTGAAAGATTTCCAGGCTGAAATTCTAGGAAATGTTGATCCCACAAACGTTAGAGAGGCAAAACTGAGGCTTCTATTTTCTACAATGTCTCCCTGTGCTCCCCTCTCCTCTAGGTATGCTGAATGACACAACTGTTGGGATTTTCCGAAACAGCAAGACGCTCCGCCTGCGTAGAGCCTCCATCCGATGCTGTAAGGTGTCGGCTGATGCTTTCCGCCTGGCTTTCTGCTCTCACCGGCTGCTGGAATTAGACGCCTCCTGGGTTTCAGGGGGTCTAACGGGTGCTGCTGTCATCTCAGGCCTGGCCTCTAACCCAGAGTGCAGGGCTAGTCTGCAGAAGTTGGCTCTTGATGGCCTGAGCCTGGATTGGGGTTCTGTGAAGGAAGGTGGCAGTCTGTGTGTCGGCTTTAGCTCCCTGCAGGGCCTTAGGACAATTCAACTTGTAAACACAGATCTGACTGATGACAATCTTGAGGATATCTGTTCTCTCCCACAGCTGGAATCCCTAGATATCTCCTGCAGCACTGTGTCTAAACTTGATGCACTCCTTAAAAGCAAAAACACAATTAGGTCCTTAGTTGCCCACAGGCTACATCGGCTGAACATGCCTCCTGTCAGACTGCTCTATATATTTGAGCAACTTCAAGCTCTGCGACATTTGGACTTCTCAGATGACCACCTTAGCGGTGATGATGGTGAAAGAAGAGACAGAGATGAGGCAGTTAGGCAGCTTCTAGACGGGAGTCCTCAGGTTCTGCCTTCTCTTGTTTCCTTAGACATTTCAGGGAGGAAGACAATCAGTGACTCTGCACTCAGAGCCTTTGTAGAGTCCAGAAAAGGGCTCATCTTTCTCGGCCTGCTTGCCACTGGACTCAGCTCCTGTCCTGTTCTTTCATCACAGAAAAACCTAAAAGTAAGCAACTATTTCTGGCATCAATCATTTGGTTTGAGGAATATCAGAAAAATCAGAAAGTCCCATTAGAAGAAATTTAACCCAAGTATAAACGTCTGGTTTATTTTTGACGTGAGGCACTGTTTGTATACCCTCTGAATATGAGCATTGTACTTCCTGTCTCTCTGCTGATCTGCTGTGTGTGCTCAGGTAACCGGAGAAGCTAATGAGAACCAGCTCTGGGAGGCTCTCAGAAGGTACAGAGAGAGGGAGTGTTTCATTCGGGAGGCCCTCGTCCATCTCTACAGTCTAACTACTGACACTGACAAGCCACAGCCGGACACGCTGAAGGTGTGGGGCTCTCGTTTCTCTGCTTAATGTCTTTTAGTTCCGCAGCTACTTAAATCTAGCATTTTATTTTTTCAGCTTTCAGTTTTTCCACAATGGCTGAAACACATTTCTTGAAACTTCCTCCCACTTTTTCTAAACCTTTTTTTGCAAAAGCTTAATTTAGAAAACCAGAGTACTCTCCATAAAAACCAGAATTTTAGTTCAAAACTAGTTCTTATGTGGTCAAAACCAAACAATGTGTTCAGTTTTTACATACAGCAAGTAAAACACATCCACCTCGGAACATTTATTAGACACCAAAGAAAATAATTCAAGACCGAGCAACTGGAGTATGGAACTAACAGAAAATGCTCATTGTTAAATTTAAAATGAAATACCTTTTAAACTAAGTATACATTTTATTTTTATTTTTTACAAAAGAAGAAAATAAGAGAGACAGAAGAGCACTTTGCTTACTGAGATTCTTTCACCAACGTTTTCTCTTTGTGCGCGGTCTGGCTGGAGGAACTTATCCACATCGCAGGCTATATTTTTCCTTGGCAAACAACAAGGAAAGAACCCTCTGGGTGCTGAACGCAGCCTTGACAAGAATTAACAGTTATATCATCACAGGCCTGTTCCATTGCATGCAGGGAATTTTTTTTCCTAGTATAGGGCTGTCATAGACCTTCCAACCATCATGCAGAGAAAAAACCCTCTATTGAATTCAGGAAGGAGCTGCGGGGTGGAAGGAAAACCTTTAGGAAGCTCTGGTTGTTGGTAAACCACTTGTGTTTTAGGGTAGAGAGATGAAAACTCACATTGTCCCAAACTGTGACATACACTGGATGCACTGCTTGCTGATCGTCGTCTAATCATAACATCCTGTAGACCACCCAGAAAGGTCAGGAGATGTTTTTTCCATTATGTGGCCCAAAGTTTGAATGCAGTAGGAGAATCCACAGGTTACAGTTCTACAATAGGGGGAATTTGTCTTCCAAATATATACGGTCAGCAAAAATAGCAGTGTGATGAACTTGCAGGTACACCTACAGTAGTGTATTCAGTGTGTGAATTACCTGTTCTCCTCTCTGAACGTCCTGATGATGATTGCCACAGAGTGTGGAGGATGTTCCGTGATCGGTGGTGTTTTCTGATTGACTCTGAGTGAGGCGTGGAGGGGTGGCCAGGGTCATCACTGCTGCTAGCCACTGCGCAAGAAGGTTGCGGGTTCGATTCCCGGCTCGGGATCTTTCTGCATGGAGTTTGCATGTTCTCCCTGAGCATGCGTGGGTTCTCTACGGGTTCTCCGGCTTCCTCCCACAGTCTAAAAACATGACTGTTAGGTTAATTGAGTTAGGTTTATGTTTTATACATCCTTTGCACTGTTACTTTGTTAGCCAGATTAGAGAGAGTAGATGGCCTTCATTCACATTGTGGATGTCACTGTATGTACGGAAGTCATCTAATCAGGACAGCCTTCATGTCTTTAAAAATACACAGGATATGGGCACATCTTGGAGCCGGTCTGATAGAGGAGAGCTATCTGTAGCCCTGAGGCATAGAGGCAAGCTGCATGAAGTTCAAGACATGGATGGCGTGTCAGTTTCTGATACGGACAGCTAAACATCAACATGATGCAACACATAGACTCATGAGCTATAAGAAGCAGGAGGTGACCTTGTTCGGGGCTCAATCTTTGCCGGACGCTCGCGGACGTGATTTTTGAGCCCACAGCAGTGCAAGCTCCAGGCCTTTTTTTTTTCTGTCCTGTAACGACCTGATCTGGAATAAACTCTGTTACTTTTTTACTCCTGTTTTATAGTCCTTTTTACATGTTATTACCTAGTTGGAGTTAAGAGTAGTGAATAACTTGCTCCCAGGAAAAGAACCGTGAGGAAGCCCCTGGGGCGCAACGGCTTTTTTTAGGGGACATAACTTCCTTATTTAACAATTGGCTTCTGTAAATTCTCCTTAGGTGTGAGTGTGCGTGAATGGTTGTTTATCCTGTTTGTCTCTGTGTTGCCCTGCGATGGACTGGCGATATTGGACCATTCCACACACACAAGCTTAGAATCTTGAAGTTTTCGTGGGTCTCTTCTATGAACTCTGATCTTCAGTTCCTTCTCTTGATTTTCTATTGGAATCGATTCAGGTGATTGGCTGGGCATTTCTAGCAGCTTTATTTTATTTCTCTGAAACCAACTGAGAGTTCTCTTGGATGTGTATTAAGGGACCATTGTCTTGCTGAAATGTCCACCCACATTTTATCTTCATCATCATCAGCAGCAGATTTATATATCTGTAAATTTTTCCATTCATCTTTCATTCAATTATTTGAAGTTTGCCAGAATGATATGCTGAAAAACAGCTCCATGCTATGATGTTCCCATCTCCAAACTCCATTGTTGGTACAGTGTTTTTGGGGTGATTTGCAATGCCATTTGACCTCCAAACAAGATGTGTATTATGGCATCCATAGAGTTCAACTTTTCTGTCATCTGACCATACTATATTCTCCCAGTATTTCACAGGCTTGTCTAAATATTGTGCAGCAAACTTTAAACATGCTTTTTCTTCAGCAGTGCACCTCCCTTTCTTCACATGTTCAATACTTTTTCCCTGTGCCATTCCATATATTACATATAAATTAATTTCTGGACATCTATGGGTTTATTTTTTTTGTATGTGTGAATTGCGTGGATTGTTAGACATCTGGTGAAAATCTCATATCAACGGCACCTTTAGAAATATATTTACTGAGAAAAATTGTGGCGTGTTCAATACTTATTTTATCTGCTGTAACAAGATGTAATTAAATTCAATTCTTTATTGCAGACACAAGAAAAATCCATATCGTCCATAAATAAATAACCGCAAAAGCAAGATATAAAAATATAAAAATGAATTGAAATGCGAAGACATCTGCCGTGATAAAAGGTTAATGTGCAGACAATGGGGTGTTAGAGCCCACTGCTTGTTATCAAAAATGAGAAAGACAATTTTTTGTGCAATGTGGGACACTGCACAGCATTTTATGGTATGCCAGAATCTCAGAGGATTATCTTAATTTGGAATTATTTGGGGCCGGTAAAATAAAGGACCCATCCAAGGCACCATTCATGCAAGAACGGCCCACATTTGAACTTTTCATTTATAATGAAGAAGCAGCTCCTTAGACATGTTTTTACAGTAGTTATGTGGGAAAACACAATATTTAGTAAGCAAAAGTTTAAACCTATAGAAGAAAAGCAGATGAATTTGAAGTTCTGGAAACCCTCTCAGTCTGAACATCTGCTACAGGCTCGTTTAGTGTCAAGGGACCCGATGTTCTAATTGCAGTGCTTAGCAGTGATTGCAGAGAGGAGGTGCTGAGATAAGTAGTACAGTCCAGCTGCACAGCTGGCTTGGTGAGCAGCTTTTTGCATCAAGAAGGTTACATGCTAATTCATAGCTTTGAGCTGTCCTTGACAGTTTCCATTCTATCAAACTGGAACACTGAGGGGTTCCTGGACATCTGGTTTCCTGCAGTTAGTGCTGGAGGCAATGCAGAGCCACCCTGAGTCACTGCATGTTCACCTGGTGGCCACTGCGTGTGTGTTCAACCTGACTAAGCAGGACATGGCAGAGGACATGCCTGTCCGCCTGATGAGCTCTACGGTCACCCAGCTGCTCCACGCCATGAAGACCTTCCCCAACCAGCAGCAGGTGAGGTGAAACACCCACTCTGCTGTTGTTAGATTTAACACAGCATCATGGTTACACAATGACTGCATCATCTCCAAATTTAGCTCAGTGGTTTGCTCATATCTGATTGGTTAATCACCCAGTTTTCAATTTTCTTTCATTGTTTAATTTCATTCTCCCATGGGTTTTAGGTGCAGAAGAACTGTCTGATGGCGCTATGCAGTGAATACATCCTGCAGGATCTTCCATTCGACAAGTTAGTTTGTTTCCTTAATAGTAGTATGACTAACCAGACCAGGTACTGAATACAGACCAAAAGTAAAGGCTTTTTCCCTTTAACCATTTAAAGCCTGACCATGAAAAATTGACAGACGGCAAATGTTTTTGTCATTGAATTTTCTGACAAATAAAATATTTAAAAAATTAATTGTGTATAAGTTAAATTAAATAATTTATTTGCATCAATTTTGATACATTATACTTTTCTGTATAATGTATATTTATGTATACATATGTATACGTTTTCTGTTCGCCACAGATGTCTGATTGTGTAAGTCAGGGAGATGCTGTCACTGATGATGCAGGTGGCTCAAAAAATGGCTTTAAAGGGTTGAAATCAGGCAAATATAATTTGAGCGGAACAAAAAAAAAGCTATTATCATTTATCAATGGCAAAGTAAAACGTTCCAAAGCATTCTGACATTTTATAAGGAAATATAAATATTTGCCCTCCATGTTGAGCTATGGGTAAAATGAGAGGATGAACCAGTTTATTATTTTTTTTTTGATTAAACTACCAAAAGCCAGACCTGATGAATGTCTGCCCTGTGGAATCTAGAAATATCTTAAATAGAACCTGTCTGACAATGTACCAAAGACATGGGAGAAAATATATAGAGACAAAAGTGACCATTTTGGAAATTGCTGGTCCTGTTACAACTGTAATGCTAACATATTTTGGAACAGCAACCCATATTAGAATCAACTGATCCTGATCCTGCTTTAGAATGCAGACAAGTTTATTTCACAGAGCCATGAATTCTGCAAGAAAATGTCCAACCATCAGCTTATGATGTAAGTCTACAGAGACAATGGAGAATGTAATCTAAAGCATACAAGGAAGTCCAGTCCTGAATGATTTAATAATAAAAGGTTAACACTGCAGGTTCTTTTGAGCGCCGACATAAAAAAAGGTTAGACTTAAACTCAGCTGTGATTCTGAGGTGTGGCTTATCGTTCATAAGACATGTAACTGAAAAATGGGCAGAAATTTGCCACAGGAGTGTAAAAACAAATTGCCTTGTTACTGCAAAACTTTGCTTTTTGACACAGGGGCAAGTTGGTTTTGTTAAATTTTCTTTCTATGATAAATGAAATCATATTTTGAGAACTGCTTTTTGTATCAATTCAGTTTCTTTATTAAAAAAAATTGGTTTGGTGATAAAATAGATGAACAGGATAAAGATGTTTTCTCAACACTTTACTTTACTTTTACCAAAAAGTAAAAAAGAAAACAAAAACGTACGTGCTGTTGAATCTAAAACTAAACTCTAAACTCTAGTTTTCTGAAACACACTGTCTGTGAAACTTCTTTGCATTTTGTAAGTATTGAGTCCCCCATTTGTGTTTAAATCCTGATGCAGGTATTTAGCTTCCATGCTGATGATTAAGTGGCTGAGCAACCATGAGGAGCCGGCCCTGCAGAGGATGGCGGTGGCCGTCATCTCCATTCTGGTGGGAAAGGTTGTTATCCTGCTAAAGAAGAACAGTGTAGCACCTGATAAAAACACTGGTCTAAAAATAATTCAACATTTACTATAATACGTTTATTGCCCATTCATTTAAGCAGGTAAATTAGATGGTCTGCAAATGCAATGAGTAATGTTGCCCTTAGAATAAGATAATTAGATATTATTTACTTGAAACAAGAAGCCTTATAGGGTTATTTTAAACATAAATAATTTCATTGCATTGGCAAATTGTTCTACTTATCTGCTGAAATCAAGGGAAAATACAGCTATTTCAAGATCAAATTACTTGTATTATAAAACTGCAAAAGCTGATCTAAAAATAAGCAATCGTTTCTTAAAATAAGTGTATCTGAACTTAATTTGAACAGATAAGTAAGATGATCTGCCAATGGAATTTTATCATAATAAATCATGATATTATGTACTTGGAATAAGATAATAGAGTTATTTTTTTTCTTATTTTAAATATAGATCACCTTATTTCATTGGCAAAATGAATTACCTACCTGCTCTAATAAAATGAAAATAAAAAAAAACACAAATTTTAAGAAAAAGATAGTTACTTATAGTTCATTTTGCATTGTTATACTGCCTGTTGAGACCTAATGTAATCTCTGGTCATTTCAATTTTAACCAACTGCTGTTGGAGCTCCAGTTTACTTCGGTCAAATGTTCATAGTTTTCCGACCAAATAAGAGTCTTTTTAATCTAGTTGGACATTTAGAAATTGTGTGAAAAGCCTTAAAACAAATGATAATTTCTACCTTTGTTTTCACATGCAGCTTTCCCCAGAGGAGACTGCACAGCTCAGTAAGGATGTCTCATTTATGAAGGTATTTTACTATCAATGTGGTTTTCTTTTCACCTTCACATTAATAACAAAAGAAAAATCTGATATAACTCTATCCTATAATAGTATGCATTTTTATTCCATGGCTTTTGATAAAATTATTCTATTTTTGTTTCACCTGATCTTGAGTAAAACCTCAGTCTGATTCATGCTTTCTCCCTGTTGTTTGCTTCCATCAGCAGCTACTGGCTGTCGTGCAGCAGAAAGCCATGCTGGGAGTCATAGACTCCACTTTGAAGTTCGCCCTGAGTGCTCTGTGGAACCTGACCGATGAGACGCCCACGGCCGCACGCAACTTCATCGAGTGTCAGGGCTTGGAGCTCTATGAGGAGGTTCTGGAGGTCAGAGAGCACAAGTTAATTTACAGATAGACACATGCATATAAAAACACACTGATTTTATATTTTTCTCTTTGTGTCTATCTCTCTTTATTTTGGCATCACAGTCCTACTACAATGAACCTTCTATCCAACAGAAAGTTCTTGGCCTGCTGGTGGGTACAGAATGTATGACTGAGGTGATGAAAAACATTGTTCAAATGTAATAATGTTTTGCATTAAGTTATTCAAATTCAACACTAAATCTCACTCTCAACAACCAACTCAGCTGTTCGGAAGAGACTCCTACAGATCAGCAAACATTTACAAATCAGTTGTCAGTCTTATGACTGAACTTTAACTGAGTCACTGCTGGTGAAGCAAAGCTTAATGCAAGAGGATGTGTGTGAATGAAAGAAAATGTTTGCAGGAAAACCAATTATTCAGCTCACTGAGTACAAAGTTTAAAGCACTCAAATTCAACAAGAATGTATATTAGAAAGGATAAAACTGTTATGAGAAACCTGTTAGTGTTTCTCATGAAGAGATGCTAATAGGTTTATTTTTAATATTCTGATAAAAAAAAGGTTAATTAAAAAGAAAAGCAAGCAACATACTTTGACTTGTTGGTTGTTTTTATTTTATTTTGCGCTAGAAATTGTTTTAGAGGATTATCAACTACAAGAAGAACAACATATGGATCAATGCGTCATCAGCTTGCTTTATTAGCCCAAATTTAAAGAGACTGCATTAATTTAAAATGAAAAACAAAACAAAATTAAAACATCTTCTGTGTTATTATCTCTAAATCTTACGAGAAAACTGTACATAAATGAAAATCAGACTTTAAAAAAACAAACATATATTTTGTAAGTTTGAGGCAAGTCTATATAATTCTTAAACTGATGGATTCAGATGAACTAATCATTTTAAAGGCCACCTTTTCACTTTGGCTTGCAAGATTTTAAATCAATATTTACACCTTTTGCACAGTTGTGGTTTTGTGTGCTGTACAAGCTATTTAAATAAACAATAAAGACTGTTGTGTTTTTAAATGACTGCAGAAGCTTTGAATTTATGCGGTGTGGAAACTGCAAAAAAGCAAAAATAAGTTGGAGGAAAAAATCTGATTGGTTTAATAAACAGCTGATGAACAGTTGTAACCAGACAGCTTGTAGACGCAGCTTTAAGTGCAAGAGAACTGTATAACATGTCTATGGTGAATTATGCATCTCATACCTGGTTTATTCTGTATTAGTTTTGTGTTGATTTTGTAAAAGTAAGGAATCCATTTCTTTGGTTCTGTTCAGAACAATATAGCAGAGGTGGAGGAGCTCCAGTCTGACCTGATGGATGAGGACCTGTTGGAGCACATCCTCAGTCTCCTGAAGGACTCCCAGTTGGAGGTGGGAGTGCGTTACTTTGCAGGGGGGATTCTGGCACAGCTGGGCTCCAGGGCAGAAGCCTGGACTCTGGATGATGAGCTCCGTAGCGCCATATTGGAGGAGCTGGTGTGTTATTGATGCTCTGAGACACAAAAGACTGTCTATTTTTTATGACTGCTACTTTCAGTGTTTCCTCTTCCTCTGCAGCATGAATCCATAATAACATGGCCCCATCTGGAGCGGGAGATGGTGTCTTACAGGTGAGGTTTATGCTCCTCTGTGTGACAAATGCAACTGCTTTGCAAAAGCATTAGTCGTGAAATAAAAATGTTTTCCAATTGTTCATACTTTGTATCGTTACCAAAGTTCTTTGTGGTACGTCTCCTCTGCTTAAACATCTACAGACATATGTTTCGCTCTTCATTCTTCATATAATAGCTTAAATGCAGTCTGATTGGATGAAAAGCTTCTTTGAGCTTCAGTTTCCATTTTTTTTTTTTTTAATGGGTTCAGTGTTTTACGTTCAGGAATATTGTTGGTGAATCTCCATCCCAGCCTAAATTCTTCTAACACACTGCTAAAAATGTAGATCTCAATAAGTCATTTTTTCTTAAATTAAGTGCATTTTTTCTTGAATTAAGGAGGTAAGTGAGACACTTTGCAAATGGAACAAGACAATTTACATTTAAAATAAGAAAAAACCTATTGCTTTGTCTTATTTCAAGTGTATAATATCTATTTATCTCATTATAAGAGTTAAAATACTCATTCCATTGGCAAATCATCTTATTTACCTACTCAAATTAAGGGTAAATACGCTTACTTTTAGACTTTTTTACTCATTTTTAGATCATTTTTGCAGTGCAGGTTTCTTCCATCTTTACCCAGCTCTGTATGTATCCGTAAGTTTTTGGTTTTCACCTGTGTTTTCAGGGTGAGGGGTAATTTTCCTACATTTTAAATGTTTTACACTTTGTTTTCAACTTGAGTCTTGCTTTCCTTTTTTCACTACTCCACAGAAGCTCAATGTTAGAATGATGGTCTGCATTGCAAAAAGGGGAGCGTCTAAATTCAGGAAAAGAAAAACTAAATCCCAGAGAAAAGCTACTCAAATTATCACTCATGCAATTAGATCATATTATTAACAGGTTTTCTTAATTTAAGGAATTTAAATCTAGAAATAAGCATTTTGAACACTTAGAATTATAAATAAGATAAGTTATCTAATATTTCAATTTTTTTTTTTAATCTTGTAAGAACCAATTAATTTGCAGTGTAGTCATCAGGCAATCCACAGATGATACTGTTTGAGCTGTGCAGCTGTATTTAGGGGTATCAAAATTAAAGAGCATGGATACAAGCTCTTGCCAGAAAGTTTTTTATTCATTTTTTTTGGTAAAATAGTGAAACCCATGTATGATTTCCTGTTCAGTTAACATTCGGTGCTACTTTTCTTTCTTTGTTACATAAAACCCCATTAAAATACTTACATAGTGGGTGTTATATGACAAAATGTGAAAGAGGTCAGAGGTTATTAATACTTTTGTAAAGCACTCCCCATGCTGCATATTCCTTTATAGAAAGCTCTTAGATCGGTTTCACATCCTGCGGACTCCACAGGCTCTTATGAAACATTTTTCACTTAATGCTGCGAATCACAAATCTCTCCTGAAACAATAATGCATGTGTGATGTGGGATTTTTCTGCCGAGGACTATTAAATCAACACCATAAAGCATTACTGAATACATTATAGAGTCCATGCAAACGGATTTTAATGGTACAAAAAAGAAAGTGTCATTTTAAAGCTTTTTAAAATTGTTTTCAGGTCCTTCCATCCATTTTGTCCTCTGCTTCAACCTTGCCAGCCCTCAGGAGTCCAGCTGTGGGCAGTTTGGGCCATACATCTCGTCTGCAGTCAAAACAGTAAGAAAACAGAATAAAACACACTTCATTGGACACCTAAAGGAAGTTTTATGTTATGTCTATTTGACAGCTAAACCTTGGATACTATCAATCTGGTTAATTTGGATATCTGGGCCTCATTCTTCTCTTTCTTTCTGATACATTTATATATTCTCCAGCTTCACATTACAGCAGTATGCTGGAGGAGGAGGGCCTGACAGACCTTCTGAAAGCCTTGGACACGCATCCCGACACGCATAGTGATGTCAAAAGAGTTTCCCAGCGCATCATGCTCATGGTACAGGAACATCAGACTCACTCAGAGTTAATGAACAGCCAGACGGATGATGGAAAGTCTGAACAAAAGCAGTTTTAATTAAAATTAATCAGTGGTATCCATGATGCTAAAAAAATTAATCCAATACAGTGGATCTGAAAAATGTGGGCAGATAATGAGTAATATTTTAGAAAGAGGGTCTTGAAAACGTCGTCTTGACTTTTGGACTCATATTTGAAATGGCTTTGATATGATATCAGTGCTAATTTGTACATAATTACATAAAAGGAGTAAAATCGTACGTGTTATTCAAAGATTAAACATTTAAATCTGAAAGCTGTGGTGTCCAGCTGTGTGATTTTGTTTTAACCCTTTAAAGCCCGATCCAAGAATAAAACAAAACAGAAAATTACTTTTTTTTGGTTTGAAGTCCTTATTTGGCCTTTTAACAAAATATGTAAAAAGAAAAAAACAGAAACACATTTTTGATATTAATAATTTATTACTGTGCGATAAGTCAAGATTATATTTTGTGTAGTCTTCTGCCCTCTGTTATCAGGTATATCTGATTGTGTGCAATAGGATTTTGAGCAAAGTTTTTACCATTAAATTATGCAAAAGGTGTCAGACGCAAAACATTTCAGAAACCGTATGTAAAAAATATGATACATTTGGCATTACAGGGTTAAATATATAAATAGAACTGTTTGAAGGGTTTTATTAAACAGGGGGAAGAAAAACCTCTGCATTGGAAGAATGACAGAAGTAGTAACGTTTAGATAGGAAACATGAGGAAGACGATGCTCTGGGGACTATTTTTCTTTTTCATGGACAGGAAGGCTGGGTTGGTTTGACTGATGGAGCTAACAAAAAGTATAATGCATGACAAAAAAAAAAAAACTGCATATGGCTGGGAAAATCTTAGAAATGACGCTAAGGTTCAGGAAACCAAGCATTCAGTTAGTGTTAGAGCAAGAGTGTTTAAATCAAAGCATATTTAGTTTGTAAAATGGTTACATTCTAAACCCAAATCTGTTGACATATCTCAAAATTGATGTTTAAAAATCTTCTCCATCCAAGCTGATAAGGGATTTGGTAAAGAGGAGCACCTATAAATGAACGGTTGGTAGAAGTCTAAGCTATGATAGGAAATCTCTGCATCAAAATATGGGCACAACTTCTCTTTTAATGAGCAAACCACATCAGAACCTGCCACTAGATGGCGGCTTTGTTCTTCAGTCCAGAAGCCTATTATGCCCTAAAATTATCCTTATGTAAAAATAAAAAATAAATAAATCAGTTAAATGTATTGATTCAAATTTTAATCATGTGTTTCTATTGATACGCCACCCTAATCATCATGAAGCTGGTGGTTTTTGCATCTATGCCACAGCACCTTGGGAAACAAGCACCCCTCATCTCTTTCTTCCCCCCCATCTGCTCATATGCTCTCAGGCTCTCTGCTAGATGCTGAATTCATTATATTTTATGTAATGCTGCTGGAAGAAGGAGCTGCTCTACAGTGTTGGGTATAAGTTGGCCTATTTATAATTCCCTTTGAAAAGCAGATTAACAAGCCGAAAGGAAATGTTGGAGTTTCACTGCTGGCCTTAACTTTTATGTTTCAAATCAAAGGAGATTGCAGCTTTGCATCATTGTAATTACACCACGGTTGTCAATTGATGCAAGATCTTATAAAAAGGGAGCAGCGGTTCATTTATTAAGCATGAGACTAACTGTAGCAGTCCTTTTGCTTTAAAGGTCAAGATTTAAATAAAGAACTTAGAAAAAGGGTACTATGAGACAGTCGAGTTGTAAGAAGTATGACAAACAGCTTTGCTTTGCAGGGGTATCTTTTTGATTGAGAGCTTTGATTGTTCTTTTTTAAGAGATAGGGCCATTTTAACTGATTCATTTATCTATTTTTATGTTTAGTTAGTCAGAAGGAAAACAGCACAAGAAAAAAAAACTATCAGTTCCTTTAAGATTTTCTCAAATCAAATAAATCAAATAATGATGACTATTTATTTAAGGTTAAAGAAAAGCATACCAAAACTATCTTTTTTTGAGGTTCAAATGTTTTTGCAGCCCCGGTCAAATTATGAAGTTATTGAATAAATATACAGAAAATCTTTCTGGCTATGCCTTTATTGAAATTGAACCTACACTGTAAAAATGATCTAAAAATAAATATGGATTCCTTTAAAAAAAGGGGCATTTTCTCCTATTAAGATCTGCCTTTGGAATGAGTATTATTGCCCTGGAATAAGATGATTAGATGTGCTTGAAATGAGATAATGGAGTTTTTTATTTAGAAAATAAATCATGTAATTCTATTGGGAAGTTCTATTACATACCAGCTCAAATCAAGGGTAAATACACCAATTTTAACAACAACTGACTTACTAGTGTTTCAATTTTTGCAGTGCACTTGCAGAATAAAGTAAATTAAAAGATTTTTTAAGAGCAATACTACTCCCATTTTTTAACAGATAGGCATAGTGGCTGATTATTTATTTATGGCTTGATTTATATATTTACTTACTACTAGAACTATGTACATACATATAGACGTGTATATATATATACATATAGACTTATATATATATATTCGAATTTCTCTGTTCTTACTTTTTTGTAACACACATATTCGTAAAATCATATAGTGATTACTATTTATTTAAGGTTAAAGAAAAGCATATCAAAATAATCTTTTCTTAGGTTCAGCCCCAGTCAAATTTTGGAATATTATAATTATACATATATATAATGTTTTGATGACAAGGTTTAAAAAACAAAAACATCCTTCTTAACATAACTTTCTCTCATTTCTCTGTTTTATTTTATTCTCAACCCTGTGCTCCACAAAGCTGATCATAACATATCGGTTAATGAACCAGGAAAGTTGTTGGGATGTGTGTTGATTGGTATAGATTGGTTCATAACTGCTTTGGCATGCCAGGGCAGCTTAATTAACACACATATGGAGTTCCTCAAGGCTGTCTCAACTGTCTTGCCTTCCACCTTCCTCAACTTACCTCCAGGGAACTGAAATTGGTCTTTGGTAGTCCTACAGTAAACTTTGAAGTTTAGAAATCTGGCTTTTTAACTTGTGCCTAAAAAAACTCACTTCCAACATCAGAGACTCTTTCTGCATTTAAATCTCTTTGAAATAACACATCTTTATTTTTGTATTTGACCCAGTTGGTTTTTTTTTTGTCATTCTTTCTACTGTGCTATATTTAGTTCTCTTTTAATGTTTTTACATAATTTGCTTTTGATGTACCTTTACAATCTCTGCCTTTGCCTTTTCGTTTTGCTCATTGGCGACTTCCTGTTCATGTTGTATTTTTATCATAACTAGTTTGAAAACTGGAGTGCTAAGGATCTCTTTTAAATGATCAATGACACATAATTTACGAAATGATAGAGTGACAGCAATAGCCAAAAGTGATATTTGGCATGCCACTTCTAAAAAATTGTATGTCAAGCGGTTGAAAAGCAGAATGTGCCATTTGAAAAGTGGCATATGCCCGTTTTTCAGCAATGTTCCTACATGGTGTAATTTGGTTTTATTGACAATATATTTTTGCAGTTATGAAGAAGGAATGATCATGTATATGTTTGTAAATGTGTTTAAGTTTAGGAGAAAACAGTAGACATTCATACCACCAAATATGTTAGTGTTGTTTTTTGTCTAATAATGTGTGTTCTGAAAACGGCAACATATTGTCAGTATTACAGAATTCAGTGGATTGTGAGTGATCTGCAAAACATTAGCCCATAGCAACAGCCTGACCTAATGTAGTTAGGTCAGGCTTTGGCCTAATTAATGAAATGATTAATGATTAATGAAAATATCATCTTCACATTGAAAAGCCATTGTTGTTAGATAACAACAATTAGTAAAAGAACATAGGCACTTTATTTATGAATATGTGCACCCTCACAAACAATTACAGGTGCTTGGCTCCAGGTACTCAGAGATTCACTTCCAAACAGAAACCCCACATTCATATCTTCAGGTAACACAGAGTACATGTCAGACTTAATAGTATTACTTTAGCGATAGTTTCAAGGTGTTGCTTTATTGTATATCTCGTACCATGTCTTTTGGTTGTGCTGTTCTTTTTTCATCTCGTTACAGGTGATGAAGCAGATTGAAAATGTTTTGTCATTGTCTCCTTTCTATCTCTTCTTTCTTTCAACTTTTCTCTATTTTATTTCTTTTTTCCTTTTTCTTCTTCTGTCGTTCTGCTCTATTTACATTGTAGTGTCCATATAAACTGTAAAACTCCCTGCATAATTATAATAAAGCAATTTATATGCATGAAACAAGTGGAGCAATATGGCAATTGCCATACTGCTACACTTGTGAAAGTAAAATCTGTTGGGCTCTTTTTGGCATCAATACAATTATTCTTATTGCCACATTGCCAGACAGGACACTGTAAAAATTATGAATATGTGCCAATTTGAAGTAGGTCTATGTAAAGTAGTCGAAATTCCTTCAACAAACTAAAGAAAAATTACAAAAAAAAAAGCATGATTTACCTTTAAATGGCTTATACTGCTTCTCATCCGACATAACACTCCATTACAGTGTCTGAGTCTATGTGTTGTTAATATTCATGTTAGGAATGGGTCAGAATTTCCTCCACTCAAAGGCAGAAGAAAATAGGAAAAAAAAGTTGATTGGCTGATTGGTTGGTTTTCAATTAAAATAATAAATAAAATTTCAGACTCCAAATAAATCTTTAATTTCTACCAAAATATCAGATATTGTAATAACTTAATTCTCTCCTCAAGCCCTGATCCTTATCTAAGTCTCTTGAAATTAATTCAGGAATGCAAATGAAGCCTCTGTGATCTGACTTCAGGTTAATAGCAGTACTTCTTGGATCAGGCTTGTTTCTTAATCTGCAGTGTAGATTTTCATTGCATCATAACTTTTATTGTCTTGCTGTCAGAAACTATTGTCATCAGTAAAATGCTGTGAAACGCTGATTTAGATTGGCTACGATTCTTGAGGGGACGGAATAGCAGATTATGTGTGGAGTCGACAAAACTGTAAAAGCAAACTAACCATGATTTTGTGTTTCTGAGGGGCATTAGAAATCACTTTCTGTGTTAGAATCATGATAGTCAAATGAGAAAGTTCTTTGGTATATGCTTTTGTTACAACAAAAAACACATTTGGTCAGCATTTGTTAAGATTTAATGGAAATCTGTTTGCGCAGGGGTGCATATCAGCATGGTACAGATTTAGTCATTCGTCACGGTTAGAAAAAAAAAACAATCCTGTTTCTCAAACTATTTTTTTCATGCTGACAGACAATAGAACAGATAAAGCCTTGTGGAATATGGCAGGTGCAAAAATAGGACTAGTGGAAAAAAATAGAAAGGTATGAGATAAATAAAGAAAGGCCAAGGAAAAAAAGAAGATTCAAGACAAGAGGCGTAGACTGAATCAAAGGAATTTAAAGTCCTCTGTCATATTGCACAACAGTTAGAGCGACATTTTTGCAGACCTCTCTCAGGCTGTAAAATATCACCATGCTGTTTTGAAGGCTGAGCTTAACATGAGTTAGCATCTTGTTAAATCACACATGCAGCCATCTTTATGGGATTAACACCACGATGAACTGGTCTGGTCTCCCAGACCACACAACTGCACATAAAGCTCCAAAAGTGGACAAATGATGCAGACAGCATACAAGCATGTATTGGTGGTGCTGGGTTTTTCAGCTGGAGGGCCATAATACACCAACATACCTCCTGTACATTGGGAAAAAGCAGGGAAACGGCAGATAAATTGGAGGATAAACTGAGTGGCAAGAAGAAAAAAAGAGACATTAACACTTCTCCAGGCTCTGTCATGCACTAGAGGGACACAGCATCTCCTCTGAAATGACCTTTTATTGTTGGGGAAGGATACAAAAATGACAGGCCTCTGAGCCTGTATGCAGATGTATTAATACAGCAGCATCATCTTTCCTTCTGCTGAGTAATAGCATGGTTTTACACCTTACAATCAATCTGTATTCACTTTATCTGCTGTTTATTTCAAAAACATTTATTGTTTGTCAGGAAAAGCCCCAGATATTCCATAATTTATGATAAATAACATCCTGAAATGTCTGATTAAAATATGCAACACTTACAGAAGTAACAATGGAAAATAACTTCCTCCTATTAAAAAAAGAAAAAGAATAAAGAATACATAAAGAATAACACTGAATACACTTTCATCTAAATCAGAGCAAAGATAATAAAGGGAATAACATTTGGCACTGACTGTATATAGTGACATGTCAAAGTATTTGAGTATTTTCACATACTGACACTTTCCAATCAGTAATATAGGAGGCTTTGATGAGATTTTTTTTCAGACCAGTATAAAAAAATGCTGATGGAAACTAATCCTGGTGCTCTGTGAAGGCCGTAGAGGTTTGTTAAAAAACATTTAATAACACAGAGCACCATCAAAAAAACCAAGATACAGCAGACAGATCAGGGAAGAAGTTGTTAAAATGATCTAAATGGATAGAAATTATTTGTTGTTATTAAAGATGTTGTAATTTTCTCTTATCCTAAAGAATCTTTCAGTTCTAACATGTTTTTTGCTTTTAGATTGCAGTCAGTGGTCACAAAGTCGTTTGGCAGGTCCCTCGATTCACTTGTCCAACCCTCCATGCTATGATTTGTTGTTAAGAAATTCTTTCAAATCATGCCGACATTTCAGTTGTTGCTTGTCTTAAAGGTGCATAGTCATGTTATTTTTCATTGTTTTGAATTTTTGTTTTACATACAACTTTAGAAATAATACCACCTCTTGCTGGTGTATTATTTGCAATTTGGCAGTTGTTAAGTTTTGTTTTTTCCTTGGTAAATAAGACCTTTGTATACATTTACAATAACAACAGAGATACAATACTGCGCATGTCTGTAGGGATAAACAACAAATTACCCTACCGCAGCTAAGTCATTTGCATTTCCCAGTGAGGTGTGGAAATAATTAAGAAATGTCCAAGATTGCGATTGAAAAAATGCAACAAAATATTTCCTTGCAAGAGAGATAAGAGTCAAACACTACTGGGAATAGAGTCTGAATGCTGTCGTTCACTTAAACAGGAGCTAAAGCTGCAGAGAGTTCAGAAGTGGCTGCTAAGGTACTGGAATTGTGAGAAAAAGTCTGAGAACCTACAATATTATTATTATTCTTACCTTGATGCTGTGTCCCAGTTTGTGTTTGGTACGAAACCCTTTTATTTCCTTGAAATTCTGATAAGGGGCTCTGGTAGGGATGGACTACAACTTAGAGTTGCTGTAGATCTGTTTAGTTGATTAATGTCGGTTTACCTTGATGCATTGCGAAATATTCAGCTTCTTTTTAACAGTTGCAATCTGGCTTCCTGATAGTTCTGTACTGTGAGCAGATGGTACCACATGTCTGTTTATGCCTGTTCATCGCCCCCGCTGTTGGAATTCTATTTAGGCTCACAAATTACTATCAAGACACCAAGGTAATATGTTTATGACCTTATTTTATCATAAAATGGAAAATGAATTTTGGTGCTTCTCTGAATAGACATAGAAAAGTGACTTTGCACCTTTAAGGTTGATACATTATAGACTTAATCCTGGGTTCCCACCAGGACACACCTATTAGTGGTGGTTTTTACCAGTCTGGCCTTAATGGAAGCAAACAAGAAAGCCATAAAAATCCAAGTTGCCACAAACCAAAGTGTTATCAGTATCATGCTGTCGGGGTGTTTTTCTTTAAGGATCGGGGGACACGATCAAAGTGGATGGGGAGGTAGATGGACGTAAATAAAGGATGATCCTGGAGGAAAACCTGTTAGATGTTGCAAAAGCCTTGCAATCGCTCAAAATATGTCTAAATGTATTGTCATGGTTCTGCACTTTTTGGCTCTGTTTAGGTTTCCTTATATTTTTTGAGTTCTTATGTATTTCTCTCAGGTAGGGTGGAGGTTTTTGGAGGACCCAAATACAAAGACAGAAGCTGAAGTGGTATCGTGCAGTTTTGATAAATCAAAAAGTGGCGACTGAAGCAAAAATCCAAAAATAACAAATACAGAAAACAAAAATTTTGGAGACATGAGGGAAAAACACTAAAGAGGAGCCAGGAGACGACGAGGAACCACATTAAAGTGACTGAAAAGGAGGTGTATAAATGGAAGACTGAACAAAGACCAGGCTAATCAGCAGATTGGGAGCAGGTGTGGACAGAAGAACCTAGAAGGGAGCCAGGAAAAGGAGACTGACACAATAGGGCAACAGAGGGTAAACAAGAAATACATAGAGCTAAAAAAATATTACCAAAAACAACTAGAATTACACAAAAGGGAAATGAAACCAATCAAGGTATAACTGAAAGCTCAAAAATAAAACTTAAACATAACCAAAAAAGTGCAGAATCATGATATCTAGAGGCGCACCTCTGTTTAAAATGTTATTACAAATCTGTTCATAACTTTTCAAGTTATCCTGTACACAGACAGACTGGCAGACAAACACACAAACAAACCCTCCTAAAAACATCCTCCTTGGTGGAGGTAACTATGTATCATCCTTTCACTCAAAATTACCTGGTGCTTATCTATGAAAGAAAATCCTAAAAAAAATTCATAGACGTCATAGAAGTCTCTAAAGGCAGTATCACAGCTTGTAGGAAAAAGGTAAAGGGTTATAAATAAGTTCCACACATAGAAGGTTATCCAAATTCAGTCTAAGCAGCAGCTGCTCTTTAGTGTTTTTGTTCCGCATCAAGATGTGCTTCGGTTTAGTGCAGCTGTCTGCTCAGGTTGGACCCAGCTGACAGCATTATTGTGTCATCACTCACAAGTGGCAGATATCAGTGACGAAATCTTTCTGAAATAACTGAAACAGATTAGTCCAATTTTGGGGTCAACCTGTATCTAAAATCTAACTTCGGCATACCGTATGTCCCTCAGCTGCTGACACAATAGGATATTTTTCTACTTAATGTGGGGGTGTGTGCATCTGACTAACCCTTTGTTAGAAGGGTTTTTTGAATTTTTACGGAACCTTTGTTAGAAGGTTTTTATGGACAATTAGAGCCACTTTTACTAGATGTCACACGGAACCTTTGTTAGAAGGTTTTTATGGACAATTAGAGCCACTTTTACTAGATGTCACATTTCCGACTGCAGGGTTTTTTACTCCAGCAGGGAGAGAAAGCTCCAACACGAACTTCTGGATCTGATATAACTGTTAGCCGTTTGCCTTTTTTTTTTTTTGTTCAGTATGCTGAAAGGACTGAGTTGCTTTTGCTGTAGGGACGATTGTCAGTTGAAGGCATCTTAGTCCTGAAGCAAATTCTAACCAGGACCAGAGCTGAAAATATAAACACCATTCTTCTTGTTTTACTCTCTGACTAACACAGTTCTTACTAATTTTATATGTCAGAAATAAACATCTTTGTCAATTCCATGTAGATGACTAATTGTACTCACTGGACTAAAACGAGGTTATGTACATACAAATACACAATGGTCCAAATTGAATGTGATTAGAGACACATGGAAACCAGCGATGTTTAAGGTAATTATATGGTTTACAAATAGCTGGAACAAATGAATTAACTCCAAAAGACATAAATGGTAAGATAACTGAAAAAACACTTTGACGATGATTGGAATTTCACACGGGTAAACCATATGGGCTCTTTGAACACGGTTCTTTCCACCGTTGGTTAATTTGGACTTCAAACAACTATTGAATGATAAGACAACCCAGACTCCTGCAGACCATCTGTTCATCAACAGTCTATCTGCAGAGACTGAAAACATGCTGAAAATCAGAGTTTTAACTCAAAGTTGAAATCCCATTTGTTTAGAACTCCCTTTCACTGTTAAACTGTTAACTGAGGTATCATTACTTTAAGTTTGTGCTCCAACTGTTTATTTGCTTTACTACCTGCTTCTATCCTTATTTTACCTGTATTTTATTGTTTAATTCATATAAAGCACTTTTAATTGTCTTGGTACTGAATTGTGCTACATAAATAAACTTGCTTTGCCATCCCTTGTGTGGGGGAGGAAATTTTGTCTTTGCCTTTTTTGCCTTGCTCACTGATTTCCAGTGACCCCACTTGTGTCTCTTGATCAACCAGTATGTGTCTTAAGAATCGTTACAGAAATTAACCTAAAAAAATAAACAATTTTGTTAAAGTGCTTAAAGAATAAAAAGCTCGTACTTTAGTTGTTGATGCTGCTTGTAATATTCTTACATCTGTGGTTAACTGATTGTGTCGAAATGTTCAATCAATAGTTTGCGTCATGAATCTGTAAATAACAGAAAACAAATACTCTACTGTACATAACCATCAACTGTTTTCATGACTACCAAATTAAATTTAAAACATTACGCCTGTCATCTGTCTATCAGCTAATCTCAGATAACAGTTTAAGGAGTGAACCCCATCCACCCACCCCATAAGAATTTCAATTATTTCTCCTACAAGGTGTTTTCAGGCCAAAAGGTATGTCCAGCAAGTTCTGTGTTTGCCCTGGGGTATACTGGCATTCCAATGCACCAAGACAACCATACAAGGGGTTGGCACCATGGAGGTAACATTGATCAAATGCCAGAACAGCTTTATCTGGGTCATTTTCAGGCTGGAGAGCATTAGCTTTACTTTAAGCTCATACGACACAATGGAATTTCTCACTATTTCTACTCTTGTCTCAAACCAGCATACACTTGTAACAGACCACTGCAATACCTACATTACTGTAGGCTAGACCAAATTAATGTGTGCTCTTTTTATTCCTTCTTTGACATAAAATCTGTCTCAGAGCTCATTGACTTAACTGTTTCTTTCCAGCCAGCGGTACTTCACACACAGCTATGCAGAGAGAGGGCTGCTGCAGACGGGTTAAAATTAGGCCTGGCTGTGGTTAGACTTTGAGGTCCGCTAGTTGCAGTGGTCCTCTAAACATCTGAGCTTTTTTTTTTATTATGCATTAAATGAGTAAATGGGCAATATAGGGATGTTTAAAAGTATAATGTTCTTGCCTTAAATGATTTTAAAATGTATTTTTATAGAACAACGGTGTTCTGTGAGCGCTCCCCTGGAAGCTGCTGTCAATCTTGAGAACGAACTGACGAATCTTGAGTCTGCTCTGATGCATACTCGGTAAATAGGGAGGGGAGACACAACATCCAGGGACTTTGTCTGTTCTCTGTCTTCTTGTTCTTGTGAATTGGCGCAGCACTATGGTTGAAGCTGATGATGTTTTTCGAGTAGACGAGTACATGAGAACGCACAAGTACACATATTGAGAAACGGTCACAGACTCGAAGCAATCAGCTGATTTACCTTTTATCAATAACCTTGAATCTGTCGGCACAATTTGATTAAATTGCCTCTGTAAAATGACTAGAGATTGCATGACTTTCATTAAATTACCCATACCTCCTTACCTGTGGGTTTAAAAAACCCCACAAAAAACAAAACACCAAGTCCGTTTCCCAATATGCGTTCCTGTGCGTTCTCGTGTGCTCATGTACTCGTGATACATCATCAGCCTCAGCCCGAGCACTGTTCCAATTACCGAGAACGCAGGACTGAGAATGCACCAAATCCCCGGATGTTGTTCTCACCCCGCCCTCTTTATCAATGCATCAGAGCAGACTTGTCCATTCTTGAGATTGAAAGCTGTCCCAGCATGCACTGCGGCAGCAGCAGCTTTCAATGTAGTGTTCCATTGAAAATGAAAAGTTCTCTTTTCTGATGTTGTTGTTCAATAAAAGTACGTTTTAAGGTCATTTGAGGCGAGAATATTATACTTTAAAGCGTCACTATTTGGTCCATTTACAGATTTAACGCGTAATTTAAAAAAAGATTTCCGAAGTTGAGAGGACAGCGACAACCAGCGGAGCTCCAAAGCTAACGAGACTATTAATAACAGGAGGTGAAATGCAGCTCTAGATGAGCTGAGCGTGTGGTGATGTCAGGGCTACGCTTTTGTTCCAATTGACCCATATCTATGCTGCGTGTTCGCGTTCTCACCAAGTCCAGACTTTGCAGTGTTCTTGTCAAGAGAACTTGACGGGAACGTGAGTCCGTACTCGCGTTCTCTTGAATTGAGAAACGGCCCAAGTCTTAATACAATACAGAGACCTTCGAAAGAACAATAAGATAATTAATTTTCTTATTAATCTCTTCTCAAAACTAGGACTCACAGTACTGTCTGATATATTGTTTAAAAGTGAGCTTTATAAGTCAATATCACTTGGTTTAATGTAAGAAATGTGGCTAATTATCTGTTTTTCTAAGCTAGCTCTTTAGAATCTTCATGCTAGCTAACCAGCTGCTAGCTCGTGAACAAAATGGAAGTTGTTCCTTCCAGGTTCAGCAAGACAGCAGATGATCACATTTACTTAAATTTTTTTTACAGCTTGATGTTTATCGTGTGGGCTGTTACGGTTGTAAGCTTTCACACAATGTTCTATCCAGAGGTGATTCACACTCGAGGCAGGACTGATGCTTTTAAGTCTGTGTTAAATCGCATTCATGCATGTTCCTAAATATGGGGTGAATGAGGGGGAGTAAAAAGTGCTTAGTGCTGAAATTCTGTTCAGCCACTTAATATAACTGTTATTGAAACCCTGCATTATAACGAGAGTGTCACTATTAAAACAGTTCTCACTGAAATAAGGAGTTTTTGAGTGTATGGTATGCAATATTGGGGCATTAATTTCATACTGTACACTACAGAAATCCTTACAGGATATTGTGGAGGATAGATTTGGGCTTTCCCTGTCTATCCACATATCTCACTGTGCTCACATAAATTAGGCCACCTGCCAACTCTCTTTCCAGCCTGCGCTATCACCCTTGCCTTTGGCACCACATTTTCTGATACAGACCATAGTACACCCCCTCACTTGCTAATATGTCTGAAGGTTGTAGCTATATCTACGCAGATATATGAGACTTTAGTAAATACATGCATTTCATACAATGGGTTTTGTCAAAGAAGCCAATGCAAGTGTGGAAAAACAAAATCAACATATCATGACCTAGACTGCAATGTTAGAAGAACAAATTTTGTAATATTTTAAAAGAAAACGAACAAATAATCAGAAGAATGTAAAAGCAGAAACAAAAAATGACAGAGAGGCAAAAATGTTCACATCCTCTTATACATAGGAATGCAAAATGCACAGATACTGTGAGTTCAAGTGCCTGTGACTAACCTCGAGTAAAGTTCAGCTGGTCAAGTAGGGGGTTTTCAGACATTTATCATTGTAGCATCTTAAAACAAAAGCTGGTCCATAAAAAGCTTCAATATGTTCTGTTAAATGTTGTCTATGTCAGAGAACTGGCAAAATTATGAAGGCATAGTAACATTACCAATAACTAAAAAAAACTGATTAAAAGGCTTGGGCTGAACTGCACAATTGCATTGTTTCTTTAGTTTAGTATGAATCATGCAATTTGCATCTGGGCGGGAGAACGAAAAGAACATGAAATATACTCTGAGCAAGTAATAACACAGGTAAAATAATTAGATTTAAATGCTGGACAGACTGTAAAAGAATTCCCCTTTTTTTTCCCTTACCACATGTGGTGAAAAACAAAAAACAAGAGGACACAAGCCTGGTGCAAAAAGTAGGTATGCACTATATAGGGTACATGAGGCACCACACTACAGGGTGCACCAAATCTGCAGTCTGACAATCATTTCTAGTCAGCCATTATAGCATGTAACAGTTGTGTTTTGCATGTTTTATGATCAATAACAGAGGAGCTTCCCTGAATATGCAACTTAGTAGTGAAATGAACATTACAATTTATAAAGTGATCAACATGTAAACAGTGCTGGAGAAAACAAAAACCAGTTTAAAGACATGGTGCAAAAGGCATTAAAGGGGTCATAGAATGATTATATAGGGTATTTGGTGCTGGTCCTTAAGGTCTCTGAATTGGGTGTGTAACATTGGTTGGGCTAAAATGGCATATTTGCTGCTCTATGAGCCCTAATGCAAGCCTGGTTATAAGCCCTTTTATGGTATACTCATGAATATTTAGATGAGCTGTGCGCTGATTGGTTGGTTTACAACGAGCAAAGCTGCAGATCAAAGTCTCATCATAGCAACAAGAACTCGCTCACTGAAACATTAAATTGTTGATATGGTAGGGTGACCAGACGTTCTCTTATTTCCGGACATGTCCTACTTTTCATACCTAAAAAAATGTCCGGGGGGAATTTCAAAATCTTCCGGGATTTTGTGCAGCACATAGTCGAAACACACCGAGCATTCGAACCGATGGCTGTTTCGGGATCTGGCTCTGCCCCCACTGGTTCCCTGTTTCTAGAAAATGTTCAGGCTTCCGTGAGAAAGCTAAAGATGAAAAGGAACCAGAATTCAACCTTTAGAAATTAAATAACAGTTGCACAATATATCCGGTCAAATCTGGTCTGCTATGCTCTATTGCCATTGCAAATACTAAGTGCTAAGAGGCTATATTTGGTTGGATGCTATAATCCAGGCTGAATACATTTGTGCATTGAATATTCATAATTGGCTAAGTGAATCTAAGTCCTGATTGACATGCACAGCTGAGAGTCAATCCAGTACTAAAGCTCACAGGATTGGGGAAGATGTTGTATAATTGTTAGGAAAGAAAGAGGAAATGTGTCAGAATCAATGTCTTCAATGTGTTATTATATCACTCTTATTGATTTACCTTATATTGTGCAACCCTAACTTATGGCAATTTTTTAAAGATGATTGTGCAAATATTGTCAAATCAAAATGTGTCATGCTGAAATGAACT